GTTGCCCGGATTGGCGTGCAGTGGTGTGATCTCGGCTCACTTTGCAACCTCCACCTCTTGAGTTCAAGTGATTCTCCTGCTTCAGCCTCCCAAGTAACTGGGATTACAGGCACACACCACTATTCCCGACTAATTTTTGCATTTTTAGCAGAGATGGGGTTTCACTATGTTGGCCAGACTGGTCTCAAACTCCTGACCTAAGGTGATCCATCCACCTTGGCCTCCTAAAGTGCTGACATTACAGGCGTGAGCCACCGTGCCCAGCTGTGAATCACATTTCAACATGAGATTTGGAGGGGACAAACATCCACACCATCATTTAGAACTAGTCTGATTTTTTTAATGGATGGTAATCTTAACATGGATATGACTATCATAGCTTTTCTTATTCAATATGCTGTGTTTGGTGAGATCTAAAAAGGATATCTATTTATAATTATTTTTACAAGCAATGAGAAAAAGATATTGGGAAAGAGGCTCATACATGCTTGTCAATTAAATTGGAAAGACAGCTTGGTGATTTTAGTGTCAGTATCAGTTCATCATTATTCTGAAGATCTTGGGAAATTTTCTTAATTTTTTCTGAGCTTTAGTTTACTCACCTGAAAAATAGTATTAATTGTGCCTGAGAGCAATTTGCAAAGCATTTGTGGCAGACCATAGATGGCTGCAACAATATCCTCTATCCCATATGCTTTTTTTCCATGTGATGGTGATGCCGTGTTCCTTTGAAAGGTGGGGTCTACATTTCCTTCCTTTGAGTCTGGGTGGGTTTGGGACTATGGTTGTGATGAGACTAGATGACTTTTGTGGCTAGGTCACAACAGGAGATACTGAGACGGACAGAAAAATAAACAGTGTTTGCTTATTGAAACTGGCCTGGCACTTACAGCTGAGCCATATTATTCTTTTTTTTTTTATTTTTTGAGACGGAGTCTTGCTCTGTTGCCCAGGCAGGAGTGCAGTGGTGTGATCTTGGCTCACTGCAACCTCTGCCCACTGGGTTCAAGCAATTCTCCTGCCTCAGCCTCCCCAGTAGCTACCACACCCAGCTTTTTGAATTTTAGTAGAGATGGGGTTTCACCATGTTGGCCAGGCTGGTCACGAACTCCTGACCTCAGGTGATCTGCCTGCCTTGGCCTCCCAAAGTGTTGGGATTACAGGCATGAGCCACCGCGCCCAACATTCATGTTATTCTTTTATAGGACATAATCTAATAGAAATCATTCCCAGGCAAGATTACCCTGAGACCATGATAAAACAAAAATAAAGCAAGGCTAGCTCATAAACTTTTCTAAGCTCAAAAACAACATCATTGTGCCTCCCATCATTGGTAAAATACCAACTCTGGGCTTTTTGACAAAATGACTGACTGCTAGTTCTTTACCAATTACAGTTTTTTTCTTCACTCTAGTCTGCCCTCCATATAGATGTATTGAGATACCAATAAGAATTGCATCCAAACAACCTCCAATCTAGAGTGAACTCCTGCTTCCTTAGACCCTTCTTCAAATCACTCAACCAAGCTAATATCATATGTATATAGTTCTTTCTAACTCCCTGTTACTGAGAATCTATGATTCCACGTCACGTGAATTCTCTCTCTCAGCAAGGAGTATTAGTTCAACTTGTTGAACTTCATATACATTCACAGTGGTCTTTGGTTAGAGGATCGTGACAATAAACTCTGTTTTTTTTCTCTCAGGCACTTGCTTGGGGTAAGAACCAGCTGCACGTAAGCAGACCAATTATCCTGAAGTCACCTGGCTATGAGGAAGCCCAAATTAGTCAATTAGCCCACAAAGAGAGACCACATGGAAAACCCCTGAAACTAAATGGAAAGAGAGAGAGATGCTGATCAGGCCCTCGATGCTCCACCCTTTGCCTTCTCACTTCAGCTGCCTTCTGACTGCAGCCACAAGAGAGATCTCCAGCCAGAACCACCTAGCCCACGCCTTCCTAAATTCCTGACCCACAGAAACCTCAAGAGATAATAAAATGGTTTGAAGCCACTATGATTTGGGGTGATTTGATAATATAAATTATAGAAATAGAAAATATAAATTATCTGGCACACAGTAGGTGCTCAATAAGTAGTAGCTGTTATTTTGTACTTGCAAGAAGTAAAGTTACTAGGTGCAAAATCCCCAACACCTAAATTATTTTTCCAGTAAACTTCCATCAACATAAACTTGTGGATCGGTGCCCACAGTTCCACTCAATGAATTTTAATCCTGATGCCAAAATAAGGTAGACTGATCAATACTCCTCAGCAGGGAAGAGCTCATTTTGGAGCAATGCTAGAGCAATACTACTATTGCCACTTTTTGAGGAGGATTTTGTGTTTAAGAAATACATATAATTTTGTCTATAACTTTAAATCCATGTCAGTGGTTAATTACATTTCCTGGCCCCATTGTCTCCTGGGGGTGGCATGTTGAGACTAAGACATTTTTTTTTTCTCTTTTGAGACGGAGTTTTGCCCTTGTTGCCCAGGCTGGAGTGCAATGGCCAATCTCGACTCATCTCAAGTGCTTGTAATCCCAGCTACTCAGGAGGCTGAGGTAGGAGAATTGCTTGAACCTGGGAGGCGGAGGTTGCAGTGAGCTGAGATGGCGCCACTGCACTCCAGCCTGGGCAACAGAGAGAGACTTGGTCTCAAAAACACACAAACAAACACAAAAAAACCAAATCTGATTTAGTTAAGGAGATACTTTATTTGAAGTGATTATTGCAAATGGAGATGGGTGAGGATTGTGGGAAGGGTTCCTGAAGTAGGTGGAGGGGGTCTATTCCCTACCTGTGGGAAGTGGAATGAAAAGGTGGCTCCATTGGATAAGATCAGAGAATGTTTCACCCTGAGGCCAGCTTTTCAGGAGGGGCTATTAAGGAGGGGTTACCTGGGGCTCAGGCTCAGGGTGGGTGAAAGTTCAGAGGTATGGAGAGGAAGAGAAATGTAATCAAAATCTTTGGAAAAAAAAAAAAGGATGAGAGGTTTCTTTTCTTTTTTGGAGACAGTCTTACTCTGTTGCCTAGGCTGGAGTGCAGTGGCCTGATCTCAGTTCACTGCAACCTCCGCCTTCTGGGTTCAAGCGGCTCTCCTTCCTCAGCCTCCTGAGTAGCTGGCATTACAGGTGCATACCACCACGAGCAGCTAATTTTTGTAGTTTTAGTAGAGATGGGATTTCACCACATTGACCAGAAGGGTCTGGTACTCCTGACCTCAGGTGATCCGGCTGCCTTGGCCTCCAAAACTGCTGGAATTACAAGTGTGAACCACCACGCCGGCCTAGGGAGGTTTCTTAATCTTCATTGTTTTCCAGGAGCACAGGGCAGGGTTTAATGAGTTGTTTACTTTACAAAAGTGAGATCTTAAATGCGCTTCTAATGGTCCTCTTGTTTCATGATATGCTTGTATTATAATACTTAATTAGTCCTCTATGAATGACCACATTCTTAGTTTTCAAGGTTTTTGGAGGTTCCTGCAGCTGCTAAACTTGGGGTTCCTGAAGCCATATTTCATTTTCAAAAGCTTTTTTTTTTTTGAGACGGAGTTTCGCTCTCGTTACCCAGGCTGGAGTGCAATGGCGCGATCTCGGCTCACCGCAGCCTCCGCCTCCTGGGTTCAGGCAATTCTCCTGCCTCAGCCTCCTGAGT